AATATTTGGCGAGTAGATACGTGATATTGTCCACCAGCATGTCTATACTGACTAAATCTAGCTTCAAGATTGTCTGTTTGGAACTTTCCAGGAAGAATATATTTCAGTCCGAGTTTGGAAATGCAATATGAAGTGATTTCGATCATTGCATACGTTGTCAAAGCTACTGCTTGATGAGTTTCCTTGGTTAATGTCCCTGTGTCATTCTTCATTAGCTTCCAATTCAAAAATTTATTTAAGAATATGTATTTGTCATCACTCTCACTGTTCGTGAGGGGTGTTTTAAATTTGTCGTTCAAGCGCTGGCCTTTGTATGGACATTTGACGTTCATGATGCTAAACCATGTGGAAAATATCTCGATATACTCCGCTGTATCTTCTGCGTGTTTTATTTTTTCTTTATTATGGGTTTCTAATAACGCTTTGACAACAAAGTTACTGAAAACCTGAAGAACAAGCTTTACATTTTGTTTTTCAAAAGTAGTTGGCGTTAATGCTTTTAGAGATAAATTATGGCCATACTTGAGAAGACTGTGCATTTCAAGAGAATGCAGATCCTTTAGAGCATAAAACGAAGCTGACAAGATTTTAGATGATTTATCATCATCCTTAAATTTCGGACAATACATACACTTTTCAGCATTTTTTTGTGCAATCCAATTGTTTCAGACACATTTAATGATATGCACTGAATCTATCAGAAAAAATAATGGTCTTTTTTTATCAACAGGATGAGGATAAACTATTTGTATTTTTTTAGAACTAGAAAATAAAGATACAGCTTTGCTGTTTATTGCATTATTATCTGTAATGATTCCTATGACAAAAAAACCTATCCTCTCGAGTCCTATGATAACCTGTTCTATAAATGAATGCAGAGCACTTGCAGTTAATGTATGCACTGGAAGCATGTGAACAATATCTTTATATGATGATAATATACTTGAAATCATGAATGCATGTACACTTGAATCAGCTCCTGAATTGTTATAAGCCATTCCCGTTAAATTACCCCCTTTATAATCAAAATAAGATTTTACATGAATTTCATCTATTAGTAAAACTACCTTTTTATCACTTTCATTTAAAAATCTAAATTTCTGTTTTGTGTACAATAAGAAATTACAATCCATTTGTTCTTGTTTAGGATCAACATTGTGCTTTAAATTAATATTACGAATGGTATTTGGATGTGGAAGTAAAATGTATCTACTTTGTCTCAAAAATTTGTACAACTGAGGTGATATATAGAAACATATAGAGGCAAAAATTAGTATATCTGGATTATACCTTTTCGAAGTTTGGAGAAGAATTGAGATTTGTTCAATTATAAATTTAATAACATTTTCTTTTTCATTATCAATGCAGTTAATATCAGAGAGTGTATTTAATGCAGCAAGGAGTTTTAATCTTATGACTTCATCTTCATTACTGCTAGCATGTTTAATTTCACTTAAGACTTCATTTAGCATATTTATGTTAGTAATTTTCATGCGAAATTTTAATTTACCAATACTTTTCAAAGAAGCATTATTAGAAAATGCTTGTACCAACATTTCATGATTAATTTTTATGGAATATTGTATTTGAGGTACAGGTTCATCTTGAATATTAAAAATCAAGACATAATCTTCAATTTTCAAAAATTTCCAGAAATCCGAAAGCTGTAGCATATTTTTCTTATTGCATAAATCGTTCAAACTTAGCAGTTCTCTGTCTTCATCATATTTTTGCTTTTCCTTCATGCTTCTTTGAATAGCGGCAGCAAGATTTTTATTTTCTAGCTCTATCTTTTTTGTCACAGGATCTTTACGGATTGCTTTCGAAGTAGTCAAATATAATGGGCAATTAATCATAATCGATGGCACTGCACCTTTTACTAATCTCGGAACCTTCAAGCATACTGATATATCTTTCCCAGTTTTTTCATCGAAAGCCCTTGCCTCAGGTATGATGTCAGTATCACGTATGAGCTCGCATACCTACATATCCCGAAAATGAAACAAGTGAAACACATTTAAGAAGAATTCTTTTTAAACACGTCATTATACAGTGAATTCTAATATCATTTCATTCAAACAGCTCTTTAAGAGGACACAGTACTAAACAATATCGTCAAACTATCGAATTTTTTTATAGGCTAAACTGCAACTTTTTAAAATACATATGGAAAATCTCAAAACTTCACCTTCAATAGTTATTTTTGAAAAATTATTTAAATTAATAAGATTTCCTTTTTTCTATTTTCTTCTAATCATGACAACAAAATGTTTCATTAAATCTTGTAACAGAAGCATACAGTATTCCAAGCACAGTTTTATTTACATTTTCAAGGAATACACAAAAAACGCTATTTAAAGCAAAAATATTAATATAAAAAACATAATAACAAATTTATAAAAATGAAATTTTTAAAAAAATAGTTCTATGTTTTATATACAACTGGTTTAACAATATTTTTTTCCAAGTTTTTTTATAATCTTTTTTAGATATAATGTTAATTACAATTTTCGGAATAAACTTGAACATGTGACAAAAAAAGAGTTGAAAGAGTAATGTGTTCCCTTAAAATATTTATAAGCACACGAATTTGAATTTTTAAATGAAAAACATTATTACTTTCATATCTCTAAAACTTACAATGACAAGTGGTTTTAAAATGAAAGTCGAGATAAATTAGATATTACAAATGCTATTTTAAGTTCCAGATTTTGTATATTTTCCCGATTATTGCTTTATATTAAGCACTGAATTTTCTACTGAATATTTAATCTGCAGTATATGAAGTAAAATTTATTATACATTAAATAATACTATAGTATTATGAACTTAATTACCCATTAAAATATTCACATGCAATTTATGAAGCAACATGCATTTATTAAAAAAATTATAGAATTCACTTTAAGACAAATTGCAAGAAACAAAAGCTTATTATACTGCTTATTTACATTGGCAATGATTTATTGTATACTTTTATATTTTACACTAGTTATTGTTTACTATTATATTTAACACTAGTTTTTCATTGGAAATGATTTTGGGTTTAAAAACAGACATATTAAACATATTAAATATTTAATTTACTTAATTTTTCTTTGAATATCAATGAAATCATAAGAATAAAAGCTCACCCTGCTATTTTTAGTTGGAATGAAGTCCTTTCGCTTTATTGCACGGATCCCTTTTTGGGCTTCTCTTTGACTGCGTGGAGGGTATCTCCATGAGTTCTAACCTTGGAACCCCCTCAACCTATCATAAAGCAGCTCCTCATCAACCAACCAGTAGACGTTCCAGAGTCACCTGACCATCTTCAACTCCAGCCAGTACAGCCAAAGATTATGTATTGTTAAGAAGGTGGTGTGGTGTGGTGTATTTAATTATGGCAAAGCACACTAGGGCTATCTGCCTAAGGGGAGGGATGCCTTTCGTGGAGAACTTTCTAACATTGTTAAGAAGGAAAGCTTCGCAGCAGCAGGAGTGGCTCTCTCCGAAAGAAAAGGGACACAACTGGCGCATGCGTGAAATATTTGTCGCTAAAAAGCGCCAAAGCTCGAAGCTGATGTCGAAGTTCGAAGGTCACGTTTTTCAAGAGTTTAAAGCTATGTGACTCCATTTTTTTCCCCAACATATTGACAGATATAAAATAAGACATCAAATTGCGATATGCATAATACAAGTTCAACTAGTAAAGCAAAAAAGCAGGAAAATTCGAGTTTAAATTATCGCGAAAAGTCGAACGTTTCATCTTAACTCGTCTTCCTCAATTTCCTGTACACGAGGTGGAGGTGGAAAACCTCGGCCATGTATATCACAAAGGGGAAAATTCTCGCCAACAGGTTTCGTTGCTAAGTCCCTTGGCGAATTGTCCCTCTTCTTTGTAGCGGCGTAGATCAAGGATCAAGGATCAAGGAAGTTCGTGTTACGGAGTTCTTAGGCATAAACGCCTTTACCTCCACATCATCTGAAGAATAAAATGTCATCATCAAAAGAGGGAATATTCTAATAAGGTAAAAATTTTTGTTAAGCCGAAAAAAGCTTTTAAGAATAAGTGCCTTCACACTGAAAACAAATAAAAAACTCAGAAGGTCTAATTTTGCGCCAAAATAAGAGCCAGAATAAATTAGATAGGGGCAGTCATCTTAAACAAAATTTTTGCTAAAGACTAGAAAATAAAAGCAGGTGTTTCCTTGATACTTGATCTTTCTTTGCGAACGTCAACTTCGCGGAGGGGAAAGGACGGGGGGGGGAACGCTCTTACGCGTCGAAAAAAGTTGCTGTGTCAGTTGGTCAGCTGACGGAGGGAGCAGTTTCGTTTCCGCCCGCTATTCAGTGCGGTCTTTAAGGCCAAATGATTGACACCTCTTAAGGGGTGCTAAAAGCAAGTAAAAGCCCTTTTAGAAGGGCTGAAAGAGCTATTTTGAAGTAGAGAAATAGTCAATTGACTTTAGATTTAAAAAGAATGCTTCTCAAGATTGATTTCTATTTATAGTTATCTGCTACAACATGAGCTTGATTCTCTGCAGTCAGAGTTCATAGCTGTTTTTTTCATTTTGGTAATTTCTGATTATCCACATCTCTCATTGAAAAGTCGTAAACTCATTGGTTGCTTTGGAGACCATTCATGAAGTCATTCGATTTTCGTGCGCTCCGTGGATTCCTCGTGCTTGCCTGCGCCATTTTCGCTGCCATCTTGGATGGTTTTGTGTTTTTTGGCTGTTACCCGTCTTTTCGTGATTTCATATTGAATTACAAGTTTATTTGTGCTCAATGTGTATTTCTCGGATCTAGTATAGTGCTTCGATTGTGATTTTTGTGTGTGGTGATAGTGTATTTTCGACGCACATGGTGGGCAGTGATTTCCCGCCGCTACCGGTCAAGGAAAAAATGGATAAGAAAACGCCTAGTGGAATACTGTGTGGACTCGCCGCCGATGTAATGGATTATGGAAATAGAATACTTGATCTGGACTGGCAGGAACTCTTTGCTAAGGAAAATTGGAACTATGATGATTTTTGTCGCGGAGTGGAGATGGTGGCAAAAATCAACACGGACCTCATTGCGCGGGGAGACTCGTGTAAAAATATTCTAAACCTGATGACCGAAGAGGAGGTAGTGAAACGCATCCGACAGTCTCTGGACAAGGATCAACTAATTGGAGCAACGCTGAGATCCAGCCTAGAAGGTAAGTGCCAAAGTGCTGCTTCTGCCCTTGGTTGTAATTTAAATTCAGATAGTGTAAAAAGTGCTTGTCAAAATGTGTTAATGAAAAACCTATGTTCTGTTGCTAATGATTTAAGTACTAGTAATGATAATGTTAATGTTAAGTCTAATGTTACAAATGACTGTAATCTGGCTGAGACACCAAAACCTAGGCCTAAGCGCCCTTCGAAAAAATATTCTAAGCGTTCAATTAATGATGATAGGGACGCAGATGGATTCATTCTGCCGAAAACCACTGCGCGCCCTAGCAAAATAATAAAATGCAACGCCGATTTGCCACTGGCCAATAAATTTGAAAAATTGAGTACTCAGGATACTAATAGCAAACCTGATGTTGATATCGATGATGTGGTAATGGAAAGTGTTGTCGCGAAAATTCCAAAACCCAAACCAATTATGGTGAAGCCAGATATAAAGTATAATGAATTTATGAAGGTGTTGCGGGATAATGTTAAATGTGAATTTGCGGGCAAGGTGCAGGGGGACTTCCTCAAAATCTTCCCGGAGACCGAGGATGACCATCGCAAAATCTCCAAATTTCTAGATGAAAAGAAAGTAGATCACTATATTATACTTTCTAAATTTGATAGGCCACTCAAAGTGGTCATTAGAGGCCTTCCAATCGATTGTGCTCCGGAAGATGTGCATGAAGAATTGACCAACTTGGGTTATAAAGTACGAAAAGTAGCACAAATGCACAGGATTAGGACAAGAGTCCCCATGCCCTTGTTCCAAATTCACGTTGAACGAACCCCAGAAATCGAAAAAATTTATGATATTACTAAGTTCTTGAATTTTTATGTAAGCATTCAACCTTATAGAGTGAATGGGAGTGTTGTGCAATGTCATAATTGCCAGCACTTCCATCACTCATCTGAAAATTGTAAATTAAGACCTCGCTGTGTTAAATGCGCTGGCACCCACAAAACTGAGGAGTGTTCCAGCAAATTTATTGCTGATGTTAAATGCTGTAATTGTGGGCAGGCAGGACATCCTGCGAATTATCGCGGATGCCCTAAATTCCCAGTTCCTCAGGGTGCCAGATCGCAAAACAAAAAAGAAGTACTTGTTAAAGAAAGCCATTTAAAACCCGGAATTTCCTTTGCTAATATTGTAAGCGGGAAAACTCCCCAGAGCACGGTTGAGGCAGCTAAAAAAGAAAATACTGTGCAAATGGCCAGTAAATCTGAGAAGCCAGTTAACACGAACGATGTGGGCCTGTCTGGCCTTTTTGAAATGTCCAAATTAA